GGTCTGAACATATATACTTATATATATGTATGTATATATGATGTATAATATAAATAACAATAGAGACATTGATAAAATCAAATGACACGGTTGACTATTTTATTGCACACAAATATTTCGTCCTGTCCTCAGAACTTATATTTATGTGTGCACTGTGTAAGACTAATGTATCTAAGATTTAAGATTTTTAATAGTGATTTCTGTTTTCACAGAAACAGCTACGTTTAGCAATTGCTGCCCATAATAAAAAGGTACGATCCCTAGGCTATTTTCTAATAAATATATAAAATTGATATAATATTTCATCTATGTTCTTGTGATTGATGTGCACAGGTTGTCGATGTGTGCAGTGGCATATCTAGGGGGTGCGTTGCCCTCCTCCCCCCCCCCCGAAATCGCAGTCAAATAAAAACACCTAAAAACGCCTTATTTTGCGATTTAGCAGCCCTCAAGTGATCATCGGGTCCCCCAATTAACCTTCGCGCCCCTCCATCAGCACCCCCATTTCTAGACTTCTAGATATGCCACTGGATGTGTGCATTTAAAAAACATTTTTTTTTTGCAATATTTTTATATACATAAAATCCATAAAACTATTCTTTCTTGTGTTCTGTTGTTTTACATTGTTTAGCACTGAAAAACAACATATTTCTGTTGTTTTACAGTGCTTTGCATTAGTAAACAACAGATTATGGTTTTTTTTTTATTTTTGTAGTCTTAAGTGGTGTAAGGTTTACCATTTAGAATTAATTACTTTATATCAGATGTGTCTGTGGTGCAACGGTTAGTGATGTTGGATTCAGACCTAAAGGTTGGTGGTTCAAATCTAGGGCATTTTTTTGTGTTTTTTTTGTTTTTTAGCCAATTTTAGCCAATTTTGGCAAAAAAAAAACAAGAAAAATTGTATGACCTCTTGGTGTTCCCTCTTGCTTGCCCTACAGGTGCCCTCCCTGACTCTCACGTCTCTCGAAGACGCTCGCCCTGTCCGTGACATCTCTTGGAGACGCCCACCCTGTCCGTGACGTCTGTACGAGACGCCCACCCTGTCCGTGACGTCTGTGCGAGACGCCCACCCTGTCCGTGACGTCTGTCCAAGACGCCCGCTCTGTCCGTGCCGAGTGCCTGTCCGTTACGCATGCCTGTCCGTGGTGAGACTTGAACCTATGTACCAAGTTTAGGAAGCAGAGCGTCTACCTCCAAGCCAACTGTCTCACTGAAAGACTATGTTGATTTCTAAGTGTTGAACCACACTTAACGTTTACTTTAAAAAAAAAAAAAAGTTTTCTTATGACTTGAACCTGGTAACAGCGTTATCAGGTGCATAGCACTAACCACTGCACTATCCAAACAGATCTGAAAGAGCATGTTAATTTATAAGTGTTAAAGCTCTCTTATTGTTTCTTTAAAAAAAAAAAGAAAAAAAATTCTTTGGAAGATTTGAACCAGGTAACCTCAAAGTCATAGTCTATGACACTAACCACTGAGCTAACCTAGTGAATCTGAGAGAGTGTGTTAATTTGTGAATGGTAAATGACATTTTTTTTAATAGCTAATGAATATTCAATTAACAATGCAAATTTATTGCAGGTGGTTTAATACCGCCCTCTGTGTTACGTTCTTTTTCTAAAGAAAATAACGATGTAATTTGGATCAAGTGTATATAGCGCCCTCAAATGTATCTCTATTTCGAATTTATATAGACCAGTTTATTGTTGAGTAATTTCCGCAGTAAACTGGTGTCATACTTAACTAATGAATATTCATACTTACTATGTAACGCCCTCAGTTTTATGCCTCCTTTAAGTTGTGATGTTTTTTATTGCTGATAAACATGTTATTGGCTTTATTGCTGAATAATTACCATTGTAAACTGGTGTCATAATTTACTACTGAATATTCATAATTACAAGTTAGCGCCCTCAATTTTTTTAAACAAGTTTATTGTTGAGTAATTTCCGCAGTAAACTGGTGTCATACTTAACTAATATTTAACTAATTAATATTCATACTTACTATGTAGCGCCCTCAATTTTATGCCTAATTTAAGTTGTGATTTTTCTTATTGCTGATTAAACATGTTATTGGCTTTATTGCTGAATAATTACCATTGTAAACTGGTGTCATAATTTACTACTGAATATTCATAATTACAAGTTAGCGCCCTCAATTTTTTAACAAATTTATTGTTGAGTAATTTCCGCAGTAAACTGGTGTCATACTTAACTAATGAATATTCATACTTACTATGTAGCGCCCTCAATTTTATGCCTACTTTAAGTTGTGTTTTTTTTTTATTGCTGATAAACATGTTATTTCCTTTATTGCTGAATAATTACCATTGTAAACTGGTGTCATAATTTACTATTGAATATTCATAATTACTGGTTAGCGCCCTCAATTTTAATAAGAGTTTTAATCACTGAATATTCATATTTACCGTACTAAGCAAATTTTCTATTTGTGTAGCGCCCTCAATTTTATCACTCCTTTGAGTTTATAAATGAACACTGTAAACCAGTTGTGCCTGTTATTGTGCTTGTCATATTTGCTGATTAATTCCACTGTAAACTGGTGTCGTAATTACTACTAAATATTCATGTTATTTGCTATGTAACACCCTCAACTTTATTCCTAACGTATTTGGTTTTGGTTTGAATTAAGAAAATAATTAAACCAATAATTGTGCAGTTGATGTGATTGCCTTGTTGCTGTTCCACTGAAAACTGGTGTTGTAATTAACTACTGAATATTCATATTTTCTAATGTTTGCTTTTCTTATGTAGCGCCCTCACATTCACCCCTAATTTATTTGAATTTATGTTTATAATTTATAATTTCCACTGTAAATTGGTCTCGTAATTTGCTACTGAATATTTATATTTACTATGTAGCGCCCTCAATTTTATCCCTAATTTTTTTGAATTTATAATGTGATTGAAACCAGTTGTGCATGTTTTTGTGATTGTCTAAATTGTTGAATTATTTCCACGGTAAACTCGTTTGTAATGAACTACTGAATATTCATATTTTCTAATAATAATAATTGTTGAGATTTATTTGCTTTTCTACAGCATGGAAAGTGCTGGATTTCTCCTGTCGCTGAGTGATGTACAGTGATGTCAAATATTGCTGCTGTATCTAAACCAAAAACTGAGGTTTTGTTTCTAGGACAATATCCCACATATTCTATGTAAAAATTACAAAGGTCTAAAATTATCTTCTGTTGTCAATGTATGTAGTGTTCAGTTGATACATAACTAGGCTAATATTGATCTTTGTTAACTATTTTGTTGATTTTTTGTTACAAGTTCTTTTGTGTAAGGGGTATAGTTTATCTTCTTGTCTGTTCTTCTTTGTCATTTAAATTGTATTTATGAGAGAATTGCAAAATAAATGTTAATTAAAGCCTGAAATAATAAGTCAGTTTTCATTATTTGTAGTTCATTTGATTTTATTTATTCAATCATCAACCAACAGAGAAAGAAACCTCCACTAACAGGTTGGAGATTATACACAGATTATACAAAGAATAATTTAAGCTTAAACAAGGATAAAACATTAAATTTACATCTCTGAGTATTAATAAACATTAACTACGTATTATTCAATATTTTGATTATATTTTTAATAAAAAGTTTCTTGAATGTAGATGCTTTTCTTTGCCATTTCTTCATCTGGTCATTGACCTCCATGCTTTTCAAGATGAACACTATCATTATGCTTCGCAATCTGAAATTGAAAACAAATTAAAATTACATTTGATTATAAAAGCATGGAAAAATAGTATATTAAAGCATATTTAATTAAAGAAAGAGGGCGCTGATAAAAATGGATGGCACGTAAAACAACAGGGAAACTAAATTACCAAATGGCCGTAGTGAGTGTGATCAGAATAATGCCATATTTGGTACAATACACACAACATTTACAATAAGAGAAAGGCATAAATACACATTGGAAAATAAGAAGCAGCAGTAAAACAAACAAAAATAGATTTGGAAAAAACATAAATAATTATAATAATAAAAGGACGTAAGACCTAAGAACGGAAAATACTGTTCTTCCCTTAAAAAGATATAAAGAGATTCCATACAAGATAACCCCCAACAATACAAATACCTAGACAGGTACGGACAATTTATAATTTGAAATGCTTATTTAATTAATTTTATAGTCTCATATTCTGTAAAAACTTTACTGAACGCTGTTTCCTCCTCCCGACAATCCGGGTTTTTCTCCTTTACGAGAGGTAGAGTTTCTATATAGAAAGAGTTGCGACATGAGCGGACGCCCTCAATCTGTCATCTTGGGGCCAATTGATCAAGTCAGTGGTGCGTAACAATCAAAAATAAAATAAGGTTTGAGGCTAAATTATTGAACTCGTGTTATTTAAAAATCCATAACTTCGTAACGAAAGATCGTATCAGATTAATTTTTTTCTGGAAATGTTTTTAAAAGACGATTCTACACCACTATATGATTGAAAATATGTTTCGACCTCTGAACTCAAGATGGGAAAAGAAGAGCCTATCTAAATAGTGTATTAAAATGGCCTCTCCAGCATGCACGGTACGTAGGTAGGTAGCACTACTACTATTATACTAGACTAGCTAGTAGTGTAGTAATATTTCGGTTACCGTTTAATTTCTGTTATTGTATACTACTAGTTATTTTGGAGATACCCTTGGACTGAGGCGTGCCACAACACCCGTTTACTATACAAATTTCTAAGTTGTCCAGTGAAGAGGTCTAGGCTCTGTCGCCTACTAACTATTTTATATGAACCGGACAAGCGTGATGTTGTGTACGGCAGCAAAGTAAAGGCGCTATGCTATTTTGGTAAAAAAAAACAAAAAACAAAAAAAAAACTACATGTAGTATTTATAATTAATAATAGTATATTGAGAATCAATTTTTTTTAAATTTTGTTATAAATTTAATTAACAGGTATATACTATCAAATGACATAAAATTTTCGTATTAATATTTTTATTTATTTTTTCCGATTACTATGCAATCGCCACACTACATACAGTAGATAGGCTTTGCGTTCACTCATTCATGAAATTATGCAGTACCCCAAAATGAACGAGAGGTCCTGGCACCCGCCCCCATCACCATTATAAGGAATCTTTTTTTGATTATATAACATATACTTTGTAGGATCATTTGCTTCATTCATATGTATGTCTTTCTTGAACTAAAATTAAATAAATAAAGCAATTCCTACCTTGTCCTTGGGCCACATTGTTTGTGTTCTGCAGAGTTCTCCACCTGCTCTCTTTTTCATGTATTTTAATTGGTGTAACTGAAATAAATGAAATGCCAGAAATTGTACTGAATTCAAATAAGCAAATCATATATTATCATTATATCAGTATTTATTATTATTATTATTACTATTATTATTACTATTATTCCATGTAAAGTGCATAGAGGCACTGCACAATATGCGCTATATAAATGTAACTTAAGCTCGTATTCATTTATGAAACTTTTTTTTTTTCCAAAATAAGTAATATTTAAAACGGATTTTTAATAGAGGCCAACGAATCCCCGGGAGTCGGACCAGGTCGGACCTCTAATCTTTGATAATACCCAGTATAATATTCTTTTATGATTGAGGGCGCTTCGCAGGGTGAACATGTGCACAAGACTAAGGACACCCTATTGCTGACTTATGTATATAATCTATTTTACAGGTATGATTTCTTTGCTAGATGTGGCTTCAAGGTGATTGATTCACCTGGTATTAATACAATAATCATTTTTTAATTAAATTATATACCAGTATTATATTTACATATATTTCAACAATTATTTTAGTTAATTTTTAACATTTTTTTTATCTCTTACAGATATGAAGAGAAAAGTTGACTGAAAGATACAAGAAACTGATATCTTAAACAACATTCAACCACAATGAAAAATATATTTTATATTATATAATGAAAAAAAATGAATTCATCGCTCTGTATCGCCATTTAGTGTGAACTGTGAACCAATCTGCAAGAAGCCGAGATGATTTTTAGATTTATTTTAACGTAATCAAAGTATCAGAAACGTGTCAGAATATTAACATATGAAGATAATATCTTTAACAGTAAATCAAATACGCAATTGACTGATGAATTAGATAGGCCTATGGTATATGTATTAATAAATTTATTCTGTATGCTGGCAAAGAATGGTACAGAGACAAGAAGACTGGAGGTAAGTGGGGTGGTTATTTACTTAAAGATCTTATAACAAAATAGCACTCTCACCTATTTGTAAGCGTAATGCATTAGAGACTCGTAAAACTGCACCGTCTGCAAAAAATAATACAAAGCAAAACTTATTTAGTGTACTGAATTTTATATATAAATTATCGGATCCGTTTAGGCCTTACAGGCCTCATCAGTGCAGCTAGGGTACAGACCCTGACGAAACGTTAGACGAGCTTAGCAGAGCTCAGGCCAGCCCAACTTAGACCGCAAACCAAGGCAACATATATGTACAGCCCAGGTGTGATTACAAATAAGTTGAATTTGCCAAAGTCCAAAATGACATTGGAAAAATTGTTTGATTTGGATAAAATTTTACTTGCAGATTGTTAAACAATGGAAAACACAACAATTTGGCATGTACAATAAGATCAACTTAGAAATTACTGTATTCGACTTCAGGCAAGTTTAACTGTTAGTGGAACACAAGCTATGCGCCTACTTAATTTTATGATATGTATCCAATAGATACAGGGAATACTTTGTCATTCTTAGTGCATCCGACGAAGCTCTTGCTAACAACACTAGTTGGCGCCCGTGGACAAGATTGGAGATCTGAAGAGACAATCTCTACTGTGCATCAATGGCGGGCCTGCTGGATCTTAAAAGAGATTCTTCAATAATATATATTTTAATAGGCAAATGGAATAAACCCAAAAAAATCACAAATGGCCACATAATGCAAAAAAATTTAAATATGTATATATATAATATATATAAAAAATCTAAACCATCAAATGCTATAATGTATAAACAAATAAATAATAGGTGCTCTGATAAGAACATAAGATGTTATATATTAATGGAACAAAGCATCTACATTAATTCTTCACACATGCACAGAACTAGTCCTTAATGCATGGACTAAGATTAGCGCGATACACCCTCTTATAAACATTGATGACAATTGACAAGATTTCTGAAGAGATACTTTCATCATAAATACTGTAAACCATAATAAAGACCTCTATAACCTTATTGTGGTAATGCTAAAAAATATGTATATAATAAACACATTTTAAACGTTATAGTAGAGGAATTTGAGAGAGTAAAAAAGATGTGCCCCAACAGGGATTCAAACAAATATTCAGTACAAGAGGCCATTTTTTTACTGAAAAAATTGCCCTAACTATATACAGCTGAACTAGCCCAAGTCAAATCCAAAATACCATTGAAAACTTGTTTGACTCACAGATTGTTAATTAATGGAAAACACAACAATTTGGCATGTAATATAAGTTCGACTTCAAATTTTGAGTTAGGCAAAGTCGACATAGATGTTGCTTTTCGAAAGACTAAGGACACCCTATAACTGACTTGTATACCGTATATAATTTTTTTTTTACAGTTATGATTTCACTGCTAGATGTGGATTCAAGATGAATGCAAGATTCACCTGATAATGATTACGGTACAGTAATACCATAATTTTTTTTTTTTCAATTAAAAATATATACCAGTAACATTTACATATTATACTGTATGATATAGCATTTATTTCAACAATTGTTTTAGTTAATTTTTACATTTTTTATCTTGTAGATATGAAGAGAAGAGTTCACTGAAAGATACAGGAAACTAATGTTTTAATGTTATTCAACCACAATGAAAAATATATTTTGTATTATAATAATCATAAAAAAATGAAGTCATCGATCTGTAACGCCATCTACTGTGAACCCATCTGCAAGAAGCCGAGATGCTATTAAGATTTATTATAGAAGGAATCAAAGTATTAGAAATGTGTCAGTAATGTCAACATATGAAGACAATATCTTTAATACAGTACAGTAATTCAAATACGTAATTGATTGATGAATTAGATAGGCCTATGGTATATGTATTAATAAATTTATGCTGTATGCTGGCAAAGAATGGTACAGACAAGAAGACTGGAGGTAAGTGGGTTGGTTATTTACTCAAAGATCTTATAACAAAATAGCGCTCTCACCTATTTGTAAGCGTAATGCATGAAAGACTCGTAAAATTGCACCTTCTGCAAAAGATAATACAAAGCGAAACTTACTGTACTGTATTTACTGTACTGAATTTTATAAATGGCGCTCCCTCCAAAAACCTATCTGTACTCGGGGGGGGGGGAATTTTCAAGTAACTGGGAAAGAAATTGAAAAGCCAAATTTGTTTTATTAAATTTTATATAGCCCTCCCTTCAAAAAATGAAAAATGCAAAGCCAAATTAGTTTACTGAATTTTATATAGAGCTCATTACAAAAACCTTATTTGCACACGTGCACTAAAATCTTTCATTGACGATCTGAGAAAAAGTGACTAACTTTCATAAAACTGCTCCCTGTGCAAAGAAATGTGTACGAAGCCAATTTTGTTTACTAAATTAAGATTTGGTTCCTCCAATAATTTGTTAGTTGCATAATTCATGGGAAATTTCATGAGACTGCCAAAAAATTGTTTACTTTATTTTATATAGCGCCCCCTCCAAAACTTATTTGTACGCATAATAAAATCTGAACTGCATGTTGCAAAAATACTATTGCGAGTCTGTTACAAGATCTTTGAGCTACATTGCATTAGGTGCCCCTAAATTAAATGAGGGCGCTGTTGACGGTAAAGAGCGCCCTCTATGGAGATAGAGGGCACTCTAACGTGAGCAGTGCCTCATTTGATTTGGGGGCGCTATTTAATGCAGGAACCCTCTAAATAAAATGAGGGATTTTATTTAGGGGGCGGTATATTATATAAAAATTATAATGATACAAGGAACAAATAAAGGCAAGAGAATTTGAATCAATTTTGTGTTGTATTTATTCGATTGTAGCAAACTCCTTACAAAAAAAAAAAAAATGCACTTCTCTGCAGCCCCCACCAACGGATTCACCTGACTCGACTACACAGCAAGTACTACCTCAAGTCATGCCCACTACCACTGCCAAGCAGCAAGAGTGCCCGAAGAAACCTGCAAAGCTGTCTCTTATACACATCTAGATGTGTATAAGAGACAGGTATAAATCTTCAGTAAAGGATACTTGCGATTCAGATTGTATAGTGATTAGTATTAAAGAATTTCCAAATATGAATGACTTTCAAATTAGATTAAATTTAGCATTACTAAAGTTACTAAATAATTATTAAAATGAATTAACATGTTATTTTATTAAATTAACATTATTTATTGGTATAGATTGGTTGCTTAAAAATTAATTTGTTAGAATTAGTATTAAAGAATTTCCAAATATGAATGACTTTCAAATTAGATTAAATTTAGCATTACTAAAGTTACTAAATAATTATTTAAATGAATTAACATGTTATTTTATTAAATTAACATTATTTATTGGTATAGATTGGCTGCTTAAAAATTAATCTGTTAGAATTATCTTAATACAATTTTAAAATTAAATTAAATAAAAAATTTAAGTTAGATCTTTTTTAAAAGCTTTAAATAAATTGGTTTTGCATATATTTTAAATATTTTAACGCAAGCATTAAATAATATTAATTAAATAATTTAAGTTCTATTTTATTAAATGCTTTAAATAATTTGGAAACAAATTTAGAGTATATTTATGATCAAATTCCGTATCAAAAACTATGGGACTTAAACTGGCGTCAGAATATAAATTTACATGTGCTTTTGGATGCCTAGATTACACTCAGGAAACAACATTAACTGTGCAGTACAGAACTAAATTTGGTTGCAAACAATTTGATATGGTTGGCACCTCTGGTAATACTTAACCTAAGCATCGTGTTCTGAACAGCAGCTCTTCAGCCATACCCTGCCTGAATCGATCGCTCTTCATATCACTGCTGGCACCAAATATTGCTAATTATAGGAGAAGTCCTATTTATCTATTAATTATTTAGTAAATAAATTAGTGTCAAGTATAATTCTATCTTAAAATATCCTATTAAAATATATTAATTCTATTACAATCATCCTGTTTTCAAATTATAATGTTTAAAATCTAGTTAAAAAATTTAAAATATTATTAATTGATTTTCTTTAATGTTTGTATTTATCATTACTTTATCTTCAAATCTTAGGACAAACTTTTAAAATGACTTAGATGGGGTAAGGTTTTTGTTATTAAGGTTTATATTTATATTGATTAAATGCTGTGTATATATGATGTACTTTACCAAAGCAAAATTTTTGAAAGGATATAAATATTTGAATTTTTAATTACAGTATTTATTTGAATAAACGCCCCCTCCAGAGCCTCATTTGGAATCATAAGTACCTCCCTCAAATTTTTCTAACCGGGTTAGAATTGATAAATCGTTATCATCATGCAATAACACGTTTTGACTGTATCCATATGTTGTTGTTCCACATTTACTGGGAAATTAAGAGGCGTTTATTCAAATAAACTGTATATAACTTTTAAAGAAAGTATTTTTATTGTGTTATTAGATTTTTTCATTATGTTTTACTTTTTAGTGCACAGGTTTATAGCATACTATTATTATTTTTATTAACATTTCCAATTCAATAGTTTTGTTTAAAATTTATGTTTATGATTCATTAAAATCATGATTATTTTAGTACTTACATATTTTGAATATTTAATATTTTGAACTGTTTAATTGAAGAAATTTGATCTGTAAGTTTACAAATTCTTTTATGTTACATGGGTAGATTACATAACACTGGTTTCGTTTTCTATCTGTATTCCAAGTGCATTATAAGCAAATGTCATATGTACTATAAAGCAACTTGACCATTTAAATGCTGAAGTTACAATTATTATGTTAGATGTAATTAAATTTAATCAATTAATTTAAATTTATTTAATTTCAGCGTTTAATTATTTTTTCTAATATAGCTAATATTCTATTGATTGTGCACATTTAAAAAAATATTAATTCTTAAAAGAAATGTGTGTATTTCAGTATCTTTCAATTTATTTTATTCCATAGTGGGAATATGTATTAGACATAAGCGTTAATAAGTATTATCAATTTATTATACGGTATGTCGTTAGTCAATTTATCAATTTAATTATCAATTCATTATAATTAATGCCCTTATATGGGTAGATTACATAAAACTGTTTTGTTTTCTATTTATCTGTATTCCAAGTGCATTATAAGCAAATGTCATATACATTTTAAATATTAATTCTTAAAAGAAATTTGTGTATTTCAGCATTTTTAAAACTATTTTATTCAATAGTGGATATATATTAGATATAAGTGTTAATAAGTATTATCAATTTATTATAATTTGTGAATTTAATTTACTTTTAAATATTTTATGTTACATGGGTAGATTACATAAAACTGGTTTTGTTTTCTATTTATCTGTATTCCAAGTGCATTATAAGCAAATGTCATATGTACTATAAAGCAACTTGACAATTTAACTGCTGAAGTTACAATTATTATGTTAGATGTAATTAAATTTAAACATTTAAATTAAATTTACTTACTTACAGCATTTAGTTATTTTTTCTAATACAGCTAATATTCTATTGATTGTGCACATTTTTTAAAATATTATTTCTTAAAAGAAATGTGTGTATTTCAGTATCTTTCAATTTATTTTATTCAATAGTGGGAATATGTATTAGACATAAGCGTTAATAAGTATTATCAATTTATTATAATTAATGCCCTTATATGGGTAGATTACATAAAACTGTTTTGTTTTCTATTTATCTGTATTCCAAGTGCATTATAAGCAAATGTCATATACATTATAAATATTAATTCTTAAAAGAAATTTGTGTATTTCAGCAATTATTTTATTCAATAGTGGAAATATATTAGATATAAGTGTTAATAAGTATTGTCAATTTATTATAATTTGTGAATTTATTTTACTTTTAAATATTTGCTTTGGTAGAGCATATCACACAAACACAAAAGACTGTATAATATTGATTATTGATGGGTGATGTTGAATATGTATAACTAATGTAACAAGAAATTTGGTTATTATTATAATTTTTTTAATTATAATTAAAGACTTCTCCTTGATTATGTTTAAAACTATTTCCAATACATACACTATCTAAAGAGTAACAACCTAACTTTACTTTTAAAATGTTATTGTCAAAATCTTAAATTCATTTGTGTGTGTTTATGTTAGTTTTGTAATATGATTGCTCATATAAGGATGTCATATTATATCATCATGCCCTTATATGGGCAACAAATTATTAATGCAAATATTATTTCTAGATTGATTTGTGTTAATTAAAGTATAAGTAAATTTTATATCAAATTATATTTTTAAATGATTTTATACATCTATTTCTGTCTTCTATTTTAATTTGTTTAAGGATACAGACACCTTTAAGGTTTGCGCACAAAGAAGTTAATTCAAAATTGACTGGTTTAATTATTATTATTATGTTAAATCAAAGTTATAATTTAAAAATCATTTTATAATTTTTCAATTAATTAGAAATACTGAATTCAACTATGTGTGTGTGCCCTATTTACAGATATATTTTTTTATGCAAATAGAAATTTATTTTGATTAATTAAAAATATAATTTTGTAATTATATTAAAATTATCATTCTATTAAATTAATTGTATCTAAAGGGTTGATATTTGAAATATTTATGTTCTGTAATCTTTTTAAAGTTATTCTTAATATTATCTCCAATGCTACACAATACATAGTGATTAACGTTTGTTTAAAGTTAATTTTATAACATTTTGCTAAAAAACCTAAGTGCGTCTAATAATTTGAATAATATTATCATTATTTTTATTATATTCCAAAGCCCATTACTAGATAAATATATATTAATAATAAATTATTTATATATCTTAAGTTAAATTTATTTCAAGTTATAGTTTTTTAATGATTTTATACTTTTATTAAGTAATTAAAAATTGTATCTAAAGGGTTGATATTTGAAATATTTTTACATTTCAATATCTAAAATTATGTAGTATTTATATTCTATAATCTTTTTAAAGTTATTCTTAATAATCTAATGCTACACAATACATAGTGATTAACGTTTGTTTAAAGTTAATTTTAAAACATTACTATATAAATATATATTAATAATATATTATTTATATATCTTAAGTTAAATTTATTTCAAGTTATAGTTTTTTAATGATTTTATACCTTTATTAAGTAATTAAAAATTGTATCTAAAGGGTTGATATTTGAAATATTTTTACATTTCAATATATAAAATTATGTAGTATTTATGTTCTGTAATCTTTTTAAAGTTATTCTTAATATTATCTCTAACGCTACACAATACATAGTGATTAACGTTTGTTTAAAGTTAATTTTAAAACATTTTGCTAAAAACCCTAAGTGCGTCTAATAATTTTTGAATAATATTATCATTATTTTTATTATTATTCCAAAGCCCATTACTAGATAAATATATATTAATAATAAATTATTTATATATCTTAAGTTAAATTTATTTCAAGTTATAGTTTTTTTTGTTATTGATTTTATACTTTTATTAGGTTAAAATAAAGTTAAAATGTTTAAAGATATTTTACGCTTTTCAATTAATCCAAAATACTGTATTTAACAATGTGTGTTTTCTGTTTAATTTAAATATCTTTTAATATGCAAATACAAATTTAATTTTAATCGATTAATCTAATATATAATTTTGTAATTATCTTTGACTATTATCATTATTATTTTTATTATATGATATAAAATTTGTTAATAATATATTATTTCTATGTTCTATCCTCTCTATGATATATGTATTAACATATCAATAATTTATTCTTTCTATTAAATTAACATTATTATGTTCTAAAAGTTTTAATAATTTGAAAAAA